TTTCCATCACCCCGCCCCATTCTCCCGATTTCCATCACCCCGCCCCATTCTCCCGCTTTCCATCACCCCGCCCCATTCTCCCGCTTTCCATCATCCCGCCCCATTCTCCCTCCTTCGATCACCCCGCCCCATTCTTCTGCTTCCCATCATCCCGCCACATTCCCCCGCTTTCCATCACCCCTCCCCATTCTCCCTCCTTCCATCACCCCGCCCCATTCTCTCGCTTTCCATCACCCCGCCCCATTCTCCCGCTTTCCATCACCCCGTCCCATTCTCCCGCTTTCCATCACTCCGCCCCATTATCCCTCCTTCCATCACCCCGCCCCATTCTCCCTCCTTCCATCACCCCGCCCCATTCTCCCGCTTTCCATCACCCCGCCTCATTCTCCCGCTTCCCATAACCCCACCCCATTCTCCCGCTTTCCATCACCCCGCCACATTCTCCCACTTTCCATCACCCCGCCCCCTTCTCTCTCCTTCCATCACCCCGCCCCATCCCCCCTCCTTCCATCACCCCGCCCCATTCTCCCGCTTTCCATCAGCCCCCCCCATTCTCCCGCTTTCCATCACCCCGCCCCTTTCTCCCGCTTTCCATCACCCCACCCCATTCTCCCGCTTTCCATCACTCCGCCCCATTCTCCCGCTTTCCATCACCCCGACCCATTCTCCCACTTTCCATCACCCCGCCCCATTCTCCCTCCTTCCATCACCCCGCCTCATTCTCCCTCCTTCAATCACCCCGCCCCATTCTCCTGCTTTCCATCACCCCGCCCCATTCTCCCGCTTTCCATCATCCCGCCCCATTTTTCCGCTTTCCATCAACCCGCCCCATTCTCCCGCTTTCCATCACCGTGCCCCAATCTCCCGCTTTCCATCACCCCGCCCCCTTCTCCCTCCTTCCATCACCCCGCCCCATTCCCCCGCTTTCCATCACCCTGCCCCAATCTCCCCCTTTCCATCACCCCACCCCGTTCTCCCTCCTTCCATCACCCCGCCCCATTCTCCCGGTTTCCATCACCCCGCCCCATTCTCCCGCTTTCCATCACCCAGCCCCATTCTCCCGCTTTCCATCACCCCGCCCCATTCTCCCGCTTTCCATCACCCCGCCCCATTCTCCCACTTTCCATCACCCCGCCCCATTCTCCCTCCTTCCATCACCCCGCCCCATTCTCCCGCTTTCCATCACCCCGCCCCATTCTCCCTCCTTCCATCACCCCGCCCCATTCTCCCTCCTTCCATCACCCCGCCCCATTCTCCCGCTTTCCATCACCCCGCTCTGTTCTCCCGCTTCCCATAACCCCACCCCCTTCTCCCGCTTTCCATCACCCCGCCACATTCTCCCGCTTTCTATCACCCCGCCCCATTCTCCCTCCTTCCATCACCCCGCCCCATTCTCCCGCTTTCCATCACCCCGCCCCATTCTCCCGATTTCCATCACCCCGCCCCATTCTCCCGCTTTCCATCACCCCGCCCCATTCTCCCGCTTTCCATCATCCCGCCCCATTCTCCCTCCTTCCATCACCCCGCCCCATTCTCCCGCTTTCCATCACTCCGCCCCATTCTCCCTCCTTCCATCACCCCGCCCCATTCTCCCTCCTTCCATCACCCCGCCCCATTCTCCCGCTTTCCATCACCCCACCCCATTCTCCCGCTTCCCATAACCCCACCCCATTCTCCCGCTTTCCATCACCCCGCCACATTCTCCCACTTTCCATCACCCCGCCGCCTTCTCTCTCCTTCCATCAACCCGCCCCATTCTCCCTCCTTCCATCACCCCGCCCCATTCTCCTGCTTTCCATCAGCCCGCCCCATTCTCCCGCTTTCCATCACCCCTCCCCTTTCTCCCGCTTTCCATCTCCCCGCCCCATTCTCCCGCTTTCCGTCACCCCGCCCCATTCTTCCGCTTCCCATCATCCCGCCCCATTCCCCCGCTTTCCATCACCCCTCTCCATTCTCCCTTCTTCCATCACCCCGCCCCATTCTCCCGCTTTCCATCACCCCGCCCCATTCTTCCTCCTTCCATCACCCCGCCCCATTCTCCCGCTTACCATCACCCCGCCCCATTCTCCCTCCTTCCATCACCCCGCCCCTTTCTTCCTCCTTCCATCACCCGCCCCATTCTCCCGCTTTCCATCACCCCGCCCCATTCTCCCGCTTCCCATAACCCCACCCCATTCTCCCGCTTTCCATCACCCCGCCTCATTTTCCCACTTTCCATCACCCCGCCCCCTTCTCTCTCCTTCTATCACCCCGCCCCATTCTCCCTCCTTTCATCACCCCGCCCCATTCTCCCGCTTTCCATCAGCCCGCCCTATTCTCCCGCTTTCCATCACCCTGCCCCGTTCTCCCGCTTTCCATCACCCCGCCCCATTCTTCCGCTTCCCATCATCCCGCCCCATTCCCCCGCTTTCCATCACCCCTCCCCATTCTCCCTCCTTCCATCACCCCGCCCCATTCTCCCACTTTCCATCACCCGCCCCATTCTCCCGCTTTCCATCACCTCGCCCCATTCTCCCGCTTTCCATCACCCCGCCCCATTCTCCCGCTTTCCATCACCCCGCCCCATTCTCCAGCTTTCCATCACCCCACCCCATTCTCCCGCTTTTCATCACCCCGCCCCATTCTCCCACTTTCCAACACCCCAGCCCATTCTCTCGCTTTCCATCACCCCGCCCCCTTCTTCCTCCTTCCATCACCCTGCCCCATTCTCCCTCCTTCCTTCACCCCGCCCCATTCTCCCGCTTTCCATCACCCTGCCCCATTCTCCCGCTTTCCATCACCCCGCCCCATTCTCCCGCTTGTCCATCACCCCGCCCCATTCTCCCTCCTTCCATCACCCCGCCCCATTCTCCCGCTTTCCATCACCCCGCCCCATTCTCCCGCTTTCCATCACCCCGCCCCCTTCTCCCTCCTTCCATCACCCCGCCCCATTCTCCCTCCTTCCATCACCCCGCCCCATTCTCCCGCTTTCCATCAGCCCGCCCCATTCTCCCGCTTTCCATCACCCCGCCCCATTCTCCCGCTTTCCATCAGCCCGCCCTATTCTCCCGCTTTCCATCACCCTGCCCCGTTCTCCCGCTTTCCATCACCCCGCCCCATTCTTCCGCTTCCCATCATCCCGCCCCATTCCCCCGCTTTCCATCACCCCTCCCCATTCTCCCTCCTTCCATCACCCCGCCCCATTCTCCCACTTTCCATCACCCGCCCCATTCTCCCGCTTTCCATCACCTCGCCCCATTCTCCCGCTTTCCATCACCCCGCCCCATTCTCCCGCTTTCCATCACCCCGCCCCATTCTCCAGCTTTCCATCACCCCACCCCATTCTCCCGCTTTTCATCACCCCGCCCCATTCTCCCACTTTCCAACACCCCAGCCCATTCTCTCGCTTTCCATCACCCCGCCCCCTTCTTCCTCCTTCCATCACCCTGCCCCATTCTCCCTCCTTCCTTCACCCCGCCCCATTCTCCCGCTTTCCATCACCCTGCCCCATTCTCCCGCTTTCCATCACCCCGCCCCATTCTCCCGCTTGTCCATCACCCCGCCCCATTCTCCCTCCTTCCATCACCCCGCCCCATTCTCCCGCTTTCCATCACCCCGCCCCATTCTCCCGCTTTCCATCACCCCGCCCCCTTCTCCCTCCTTCCATCACCCCGCCCCATTCTCCCTCCTTCCATCACCCCGCCCCATTCTCCCGCTTTCCATCAGCCCGCCCCATTCTCCCGCTTTCCATCACCCCGCCCCTTTCTCCCGCTTTCCATCTCCCTGCCCCATTCTCCCGCTTTCCATCACCCCACCCCATTCTCCCGCTTTCCATCACCCCGCCCCATTCTCCCGCTTCCCATCATCCCGCCCCATTCTCCCGCTTTCCATCACCCCGCCCCATTCTCCCTCCTTCCATTTCCCCGCCTCATTCTCCCGCTTTCCATCACCCCGCCCCATTCTCCCGCTTTCCATCACCCCGCCCCCTTCTCCCTCCTTCCATCACCCCGCCCCATTCTCCCTCCTTCCATCACCCCGCCCCATTCTCCCGCTTTCCATCAGCCCGCCCCATTCTCCCGCTTTCCATCACCCCGCCCCATTCTCCCGCTTTCCATCACCCCACCCCATTCTCCCGCTTTCCATCACCCTGCCACATTTTCCCGCTTTCTATCACCCCGCCCCATTCTCCCTCCTTCCATCACCCCGCCCCATTCTCCCGCTTTCCATCACCCCGCCCCATTCTCCCGATTTCCGTCACCCCGCCCCATTCTCCCGCTTTCCATCACCCCGCCCCATTCTCCCGCTTTCCATCACCCCGCCCCATTCTCCAGCTTTCCATCATCCCGCCCCATTCTCCCTCCTTCCATCACCCCGCCCCATTCTCCCGCTTTCCATCACTCCGCCCCATTCTCCCTCCTTCCATCACCCCGCAACATTCTCCCTCCTTCCATCACCCCGCCCCATTCTCCCGCTTTCCATCACCCCGCCCCATTCTCCCGCTTCCCATAACCCCACCCCATTCACCCGCTTTCCATCACCCCGCCACATTCTCCCTCTTTCCATCACCCCGCCCCCTTCTCTCTCCTTCCATCACCCCGCCCCATTCTCCCTCCTTCCATCACCCCGCCCCATTCTCCCGCTCTTCATCAGCCCGCCCCATTCTCCCGCTTTCCATCACCCCTCCCCTTTCTCCCGCTTTCCATCTCCCCGCCCCATTCTCCCGCTTTCCATCATCCCGCCCCATTCTCCCGCTTTCCATCACCCGCCCCATTCTCCCGCTTTCCATCACCCGCCCCATTCTCCCGCTTTCCATCACCCGCCCCAGCGAGTTGCTCCTAGCACCCCCACCAGCCAGGCGAGTTGCTCCCAGCACCTCCACCAGCCAGGTGAGTTGCTCCCAGCACCCCCACTAGCCAGACGAGTTGCTCCTAGCATCCTCACCAGCCAGGTGAGTTGCTCCCAGCACCCCTACCAGCCAGGTGAGTTGCTCCCAGCACCCCCACCAGCCAGGCGAGTTGCTCTCAGCACCCCCACCAGCAAGGCGAGTTGCTCCCAGCACCCCCACTAGCCAGGCGAGTTGCTCCCAGCACCCCCACCAGCCAGGCGAATTGCTCCCAGCACCCCCACCAACCAGGTGAGTTGCTCTCAGCACCCCCACCAGCCAGGTGAGTTGCTCCCAGCACCCCCACCAGCCAGGTGAGTTGCTCCCAGCACCCCCACCAGCCAGATGAGTTGCTCCCAGCACACCCACCAGCCAGGCGAGTTGCTCCCAGCACCCCCACCAGCCAGGCAAGTTGCTCCCAGCACCCCCACCAGCCAGGCGAGTTGCTCCCAGCACCCCCACGAGCCAGGCGAGTTGCTCCCAGCACCCCCACCAGCCAGGCGAGTTGCTCCCAGCACCCCCACCAGCCAGGCGAGTTGCTCCCAGCACCCCCACCAGCCAGGCGAGTTGCTCCCAGCACTCCCACCAGCCAGGCGAGTTGCTCCCAGCACCCCCACCAGCAAGGCAAGTTGCTCCCTTCACCCCCACCAGCTAGGCGAATTGCTCCCAGCACCCCCACCAGCCAGGCGAGTTGCTCCCAGCACCCCCACCAGCAGGGCGAGTTGCTCCCAGCACCCCCACCGGCCAGGTTACTTGCTCCCAGCACCCCCACCAGCCAGGTGAGTTGCTCCCAGCACCCCCACCAGCCAGGTGAGTTGCTCCCAGCACCCCCACCGGCCAGGTGAGTTGCTCCCAGCACCCCCACCAGCCAGGTGAGTTGCTAGGTAAGTTGCTCCCAGCACCCCTACCAGCCAGGCGAGTTGCTCCCAGCACCCCCACCAGCCAGGTGAGTTGCTCCTAGCACCCCCACCAGCCAGGTGAGTTGCTCCCAGCACCCCCACCAGCCAGGCGAGTTGCTCCCAGCACCCCCACCAGCCAGGTGAGTTGCTCCCAGCACCCCCACCAGCCAGGGGAGTTGCTCCCAGCACCCCCACCAGCCAGGTGAGTTGCTCCTAGCACCCCCACCAGCCAGGTGAGTTGCTCCCAGCACCCCCACCAGCTAGGCGAGTTGCTCCCAGCACCCCCACCAGCCAGACGAGTTGCTCCCAGCACCCCCACCAGCCAGGCGAGTTGCTCCCAGCACCCCCACCAGCCAGGCGAGTTGCTCCCAGCACCCCCACCAGCCAGGCGAGTTGCTCCCAGCACCTCCACCAGCCAGGCGAGTTGCTCCCAGCACCCCCACCAGCAAGGCGAGTTGCTCCCAGCACCCCCACCAGCCAGGCGAGTTGCTCCCTGCACCCCCACCAGCCAAACAAGTTGCTCCAAGCACCCCCACCAGCCAGGTGAGTTGCTCCCAGCACCCCCACCAGCTAGGTGAGTTGCTCCCAGCACCCCCACCAGCCAGGCGAGTTGCTCCCAGCACCCCCACCAGCCAGGCGAGTTGCTCCCAGCACCCCCACCAGCCAGGCGAGTTGCTCCCAGCACCCATACCAGCCAGGCGAGTTGCTCCGAGCACCCCCACCAGCCAGTCGAGTTGCTCCCAGCACGCCCACCAGCCAGGTGAGCTGCTTCCAGCACCCCCACCAGCCAGGCGAGTTGCTCCCAGCACCCCCACCGGCCAGGCGAGTTGCTCCCACCACCCCCACCAGCCAGGCGAGTTGATCCGAACACCCCCACCAGCCAGACGAGTTGCTCCAGGCACCCCCACCAGCCAGGTGAGTTGCTCCCAGCACCCCCACCAGCCAGGAGAGTTGCTCCCAGCACCCCCACCAACCAAGCGAGTTGATGGAAAGCAGGAGAATGGGGCGGGGTGATGGAAGGATGGAGAATGGGGCAGGGTGATAGAATAGAGGAGAATGGGGCGGGATGATGGAAAGAGGGAGAATAGGGCGGGGTGATGGAAAGTGGGAGAATGAGGCGGGGTGATGGAAAGAGGGAGAATGGGGAGGGGTGATGGAAAGCAGGAGAATGGGGCAGGGTGATGAAAAGTTGGAGAATGGGGCGGTGTGATGGAAAGAGGGAGAATGGGGCGGGGTGATGGAAAGCGGGAGAATGGGGCAGGGTGATGGACAGCGGGAGAATGGGGAGGGGTGATGGAAAGCAGGAGAATGGGGCGGGGTGATGGAAAGCGGGAGAATGGGGCGGGGTGATGGAAAGCGGGAGAATGGGGCGGGGTGATCGAAAGCGGGAGAATGGGGCAGGGTGATGGACAGCGGGAGAATGGGGAGGGGTGATGGAAAGCGGGAGAATGGGGCAGGGTGATGGAAAGAGGGAGAATGGGGCGGGGTGATGGAAAGCGGGAGAATGGGGCGGGGTGATGGAAAGCGGGAGAATGGGGCGGGGTGATGGAAAGAGGGAGAATGGGGAGGGGTGATGGAAAGAGGGAGAATTGGTTGGGGTGATGGAAAGCGGGAGAATGGGGCGGGGTGAAGGAAAGCGGGAGAGGGGCGGGGTGATGGAAATCAGGAGAATGGGGCAGGGCGATGAAAAGCGGGAGAATGGGGCCGGGTGATGGAAAGAGGGAGAATGGGGCGGGGTGATGGAAAGCGGGAGAATGGGGGGGGGTGATAGAAAGCAGGAGAATGTGGCGGGGTGATGGAAAGCGGGAGAATGGGGCGGGGTGATGGAAATCGAGAGAATGGGGCGAAGTGATGGAAAGTTGGAGAATGGGGCGGGGTGATGGAAATCGGGAGAATGGGGCGGGGTGATGGAAAGCGGGAGAATGGGGCGGAGTGATAGAAAGCGGGAGAATGGGGCGGGGTGATGGAAAGAGGGAGAATAGGGAGGGGTGATGGAAAGAGGGAGAATGGGGCGCGGTGATGGGAAGCGGAAGAATGGGACGGGGTGATGAAAAGAGAGAAAATGGGGCGGGGTGATGGATTGGGGGAGAATGGGGCGGGGTGATGGAAAGAGGGAGAATGGGGCCGGATGATGGAAAGAGGGAAAATTGGGCGTGGTGATGGAAAGCGGGAGAATGGAACGGGGTGATGGAAAGCAGTAGAATGGGGTGGGGTGATGGAAAGAGGGAGAATGGTGCGGGGTGATGGAAAGCGGGAGAATGGTGCAGTGTGATGGAAAGAGAGAGGATAGGGCGGGGTGATGGAAAGAGGGAGAATGGGGCAGGGTGATGGAAAGCGGGAGAATGGGGCGGGGTGATGGAAAGAGGGAGAATGGGGTGGGGTGATGGAAAGAGGGAGAATTGGGCGGGGTGATGGAAAGCTGGAGAATGGAGCGGGGTGATGGAAAGCGGGAGAATGGGGCGGGGTGATGGAAAGGGGGAGAATGGGGCGGGGTGATGGAAAGCGGGAGAATGGGGCGGGGTGATGGAAAGCGGGAGAATGGGGCGGGGTGATGGAAAGAGGGAGAATGGGGCGGGGTGATGGAAAGCAGGAGAATAGGGCGGGGTGATGGAAAGCGGGAGAATTGGGCAGGGTGATGGAAAGATGGAGAATGGGGCGGGGTGATGGAAGGCGGGAGAATGGGCCAGGGTGATGGAAAGAGGGAGAATAGGGAGGGGTGATGGAAAGAGGGAGAATGGGGCGGGGTGATGGGAAGCGGAAGAATGGGACGGGGTGATGAAAAGAGAGAAAATGGGGCGGGGTGATGGATTGGGGGAGAATGGGGCGGGGTGATGGAAAGAGGGAGAATGGGGCGGGATGATGGAAAGAGGGAAAATTGGGCGGGGTGATGGAAAGCGGGAGAATGGGACGGGGTGATGGAAAGCAGTAGAATGGGGTGGGGTGATGGAAAGAGGGTGAATGGTGTGGGGTGATGGAAAGCGGGAGAATGGTGCGGGGTGATGGAAAGAGAGAGGGCGGGGTGAATGGAAAGAGGGAGAATGGGGCAGGGTGATGGAAAGCGGGAGAATGGGGCGGGGCGATGGAAAGAGGGAGAATGGGGTCGGGTGATGGAAAGAGGAAGAATTGGGCGGGGTGATGGAAAGCGGGAGAATGGAGCGGGGTGATGGAAAGCGGGAGAATGGGGCGGGGTGATGGAAAGCGGGAGAATGGGGCGGGGTGATGGAAAGAGGGAAAATGGGGCGGGGTGATGGAAAGCGAGAGAATGGGGCGGGGTGATGGAAAGAGGGAGAATGGGGCGTGGTGATGGAAAGCAGGAGAATGGGGCGGGGTGATGGAAAGAGGGAGAATGGGGCGGGGTGATGGAAGGCGGGAGAATGGGGCGGGGTGATGGAAAGAGGGAGAATGGGGCGGGGTGATAGAAAGCATGAGAATGGGGCGGGGTGATGGAAAGAGGGAGAATGGGGAGGGGTGATGGAGATAGTGAGAATGGGGCGGGGTGATGGAAAGCGGGAGAATAAGGCGGGGTGATAGAAAGCGAGAGAATGGGGCGGGGTGATGGAAAACAGGAGAATGGGACGGGGTGATCGAAAGTGGGAGAATTGGGCGGGGTGATGGAAAGCGGGAGAATGGGGCGGGGTGATGGAAATCGGGAGAATGGGGCAGGGTGATGGAAAGAGGGAGAATAAGGCGGGGTGATGGAAAGAGGGAGAATGGGGCGGGTTGATGGAAAGAGGGAGAATAGGGCGGGGTGATGAAAGGCGGGAGAATGGGGTGGGGTGATGGAAAGCGGGAGAATTGGGCGGGGTGATGGAAAGAGGGAGAATGGGGCAGGGTGATAAAAAACAGGAGAATGGGGCGGGTGATGGAAAGAGGGAGAAAGGGGCGGGGTAATGGAAAGCGGGAGAATGGGGCGGGGTGATGGAAAGAGGGAGAATGGGGAGGGGTGATGGAAAGAGGGAGAATTGGGCGGGGTGATGGAAAGCGGGAGAATGGAGCGGGCGGGGTGATGGAAAGCGGGAGAATGGAGCGGGGTGATGGAAAGAGGGAGAATGGGGCGGGTTGATGGAAAGAGGGAGAATGAGGCGGGGTGATGGAAAGCGGGAGAACGGGGCGGGGTGATGGAAAGCGGGAGAATGGGGCGGGGTGATGGAAAGCGGGAGAATGGGGCGGGGTGATGGAAAGAGGGAGAATGGGGCGGTGTGATGGAAAGCGGGAGAACAGGGCGGGGTGATGGAAAGCGGGAGAATGGGTCGGGGTGATGGAAAGCGGGAGAATGGGGTGGGGTGATGGAAATCGGGAGAATGGGGCGGGGTGATAAAAAGCTGGAGAATGGGGCGGGGTAATGGAAAGAAGGAGAATGGGGCGGGGTGATGGAAAGCGGGAGAATGGGGCGGGGTGATGGAAAGAGGGAGAATAGGGAGGGGTGATGGAAAGCGAGAGAATGGGGCGAGGTGATGGAAACAGGAAGATAGGGGCGGGGTGATGGAAAGAGGGAGAATGGGGCGAGGTGATGGAAACAGGGAGAATGGGGTTGGGTGACGGAAAGAGGGAGAATGGGATGGGTTGATGGAAAGAAGGAGAATGGGGCGGGGAGATGGAAAGAGGGAGAATGGAGAGGGGTGATGGAAAGCGGGAGAATTGGGCGCGGTGATGGAAAGCGGGAGAATGGAGCGGGGTGATGGAAAGCGGGAGAATGGGGCGGGGTGATGGAAAGAGGGAGAATGGGGCGGGATGATGGAAAGCAGGAGAATGGGGCGGGGAAATGGAAAGAGGGAGAATGGGGCAGGGTGATGGAAAGAGGGAGAATGGGGCAGTGTGATGGAAAGCAGGAGAATGGGGCGGGGTGATGGAAAGAGGGAGAATGGGAAGGGGTGATAGAAAGATGGAGAATTGGGCGGGGTGATGGAAAGCGGGACAATGGAGCCGGGTGATGGAAAGCGGGAGAATGGGGCGGAGTGATGGAAAGCGGGAGAATGGGGTGGTGTGATGGAAAGCGGGAGAATGGGGCGGGGTGGTGGAAAGCGGGAGATTGGGGCGGGGTGGTGGAAAGCGGGAGAATGGGGCGGGGTGATGGAAAGAGGGAGAATGGGGCGGGGTGATGGAAAGCGGGAGAATGGGGCGGGGTGATGGAAAGAGGGAGAATGGGGCGGGGTGATGGAAAGCGGGAGAATGGGGCAAGGTGATGGAAAGCGGGAGAATGGGGCAGGGTGTTGGAAAGCAGGAGAATGGGGCGGGGTGATGGAAATCGGGAGAATGGGGCGGGGTGATGGAAAGCGGGAGAATAAGGCGGGGTGATGGAAAGCGAGAGAATGGGGCGGGGTGATGGAAAACGAGAGAATGGGATGGGGTGATGGAAAGTGGGAGAATTGGGCGGGGTGATGGATAGAGGGAGAATGGGGCGGGGTGATGGAAAGCGGGAGAATGGGGCGGGGTGATGGAAAGAGGGAGAATAGGGTGGGGTGATGGAAAGCGTGAGAATGGGGCGGGGTGATGGAAAGAGGGAGAATGGGGCGGGGTGATGGAAGGCGGGAGAATGGGGCGGGGTGATGGAAAGCGGGAGAATGGGGCAGGGTGATGGAAATCGGGAAAATGGGGCGGGTGATGGAAAGCGGGAGAATGGGGCGGGGTGATGGAAAGAGGGAGAATGGGGCGGGGTGATGGAAAGAGGGATAATTGGGCGGGGTGATGGAAAGCGGGAGAATGGAGCGGGGTGATGGAAATCCGGAGAATGGGGGGGAGTGATGGAAAGCGGGAGAGGGGCGGGGTGATGGAAATCGGGAGAATGGGGCGGGGTGGTGGAAAGCGGGAGAATGGGGCGGGATGATGGAAAGCGGGAGAATGGGGCGGGTAATGGGAAAAGGGAGAATGGGGCGGGGTGATGGAAAGTGGGAGAATGGGGCGGGGTGATGGAAAGCGGGACAATGGGGCCGGGTGATAGAAAGCGGGAGAATGGGGCGGGGTGATGGAAATCGAGAGAATTGGGCGAAGTGATGGAAAGCGGGAGAATGGGGCGGGGTGATGGAAAGCGGGAGAATGGGGCGGGGTGGTGGAAAGCGGGAGAATGGGGCGGGGTGGTGGAAAGCGGGAGAATGGGGCGGAGTGATGGAAAGCGGGAGAATGGGGCGGGGTGATGGGAAGAGGGAGAATGGGGCGGGGTGATGGAAAGAGGGAGAATGGGGCGGGGTGATGGAAAGCGGGAGAATGGGGCGGGGTGATGGAAAGAGAGAAAATAGGGCGAGGTGATGGAAAGCGGGAGAATGGGGCGGTGTGATGGAAAGCGGGAGAATGGGGCGGGGTGATGGAAAGAGAGAAAATAGGGCGAGGTGATGGAAAGCGGGAGAATGGGGTGGTGTGATGGAAAGCGGGAGAATGGGGCGGGGTGATGGAAAGAGGGAGAATGGGGCGGGGTGATGGAAAGCGGGAGAATGGGGCGGGGTGATGGAAATCGGGAAAATGGGGCGGGTGATGGAAAGCGGGAGAATGGGGCGGGGTGATGGAAAGAGGGAGAATGGGGCGGGGTGATGGAAAGAGGGATAATTGGGCGGGGTGATGGAAAGCGGGAGAATGGAGCGGGGTGATGGAAATCCGGAGAATGGGGGGGAGTGATGGAAAGCGGGAGAGGGGCAGGGTGATGGAAATCGGGAGAATGGGGCGGGGTGGTGGAAAGCGGGAGAATGGGGCGGGATGATGGAAAGCGGGAGAATGGGGCGGGTAATGGGAAAAGGGAGAATGGGGCGGGGTGATGGAAAGTGGGAGAATGGGGCGGGGTGATGGAAAGCGGGACAATGGGGCCGGGTGATAGAAAGCGGGAGAATGGGGCGGGGTGATGGAAATCGAGAGAATTGGGCGAAGTGATGGAAAGCGGGAGAATGGGGCGGGGTGATGGAAAGCGGGAGAATGGGGCGGGGTGGTGGAAAGCGGGAGAATGGGGCGGGGTGGTGGAAAGCGGGAGAATGGGGCGGAGTGATGGAAAGCGGGAGAATGGGGCGGGGTGATGGGAAGAGGGAGAATGGGGCGGGGTGATGGAAAGAGGGAGAATGGGGCGGGGTGATGGAAAGCGGGAGAATGGGGCGGGGTGATGGAAAGAGAGAAAATAGGGCGAGGTGATGGAAAGCGGGAGAATGGGGCGGTGTGATGGAAAGCGGGAGAATGGGGCGGGTTGATGGAAAGAGAGAAAATAGGGCGAGGTGATGGAAAGCTGGAGAATGGGGTGGTGTGATGGAAAGCGGGAGAATGGGGCGGGGTGATGGAAAGAGGGAGAATGGGGCGGGGTGATGGAAAGCGGGAGAATGGGGCGGGGTGATGGAAAGAGGGAGAATGGGGCGGGGTGATGGAAAGCGGGAGAATGGGGCGGGGTGATGGAAATAGGGAGAATGGGGTGGGGTGATGGAAAGAGGGAGAATGGGGCGGGGTGATGGAAAGAGGGAGAATGGGGCGGGGTGATCAAAAGAGGGAGAATGGGGCGAGGTGATGGAAAGCGGGAGAATGGGGCGGGGTGATGGAAAGCTGGAGAATGGGGCAGGGTGATGGAAAGCGGGAGAATGGGGCGGGGTGATGGAAAGCGGGAGAACGGGGCGGGGTGATGGAAAGCGGGAGAATGGGGCGGGGTGATGGAAAGAGGAAGAAAGGGGCGGGGTGATGGAAAGCGGGAGAATGGGGCGAAGTGATGGAAAGCGGGAGAATGGGGCGGGGTGATGGAAAGCGGGAGAATGGGGCGGGGTAATGGAAAGCGGAAGAATGGGGCGGGGTGATGGAAAGCGGGAGAATGGGGTGGGGTGATGGAAAGCGGGAGCATGGGGCGAGGTGATGGAAAGCTTGAGAATAGGGCGGGGTGATGGAAAGCGGGAGAACGGGTCGGGGTGATGGAAAGCGGGAAAATGGGGCGGGGTGATGGAAAGCGGGATAATGGGGCTGGGTGACAGAAAGCGGGAGAATGGGGCGGGGTGATGGAAAGAGGGAGAATAGGGTGGGGTGATGGAAAGCAGGAGAATGGGGTGGGGTGATGGAAAGCGGGAGAATGGGGCGGGGTGATGGAAAGCGGGAGAATAGGGCGGGGTGATGGAAAGCTGGAGAATGGGGCGGGGTGACGGAAAGAGGGTGAATGGGGCGGGGTGATGGAAAGCGGAAGAATGCGGCGGGGTGATGGAAAGCGGGAGAATGGGGCGGGGTGACGGAAAACGAGAGAATGGGGCGGGGTGATGGAAAGCGGGAGAATGGGGCGGGGTGATGGAAAGCTGGAGAATTGGGCGGTGTGATGGAAAGCGGAAGAATGGGGCGGGGTGATGGAAATAGGGAGAATGGGGCGGGGTGATGGAAAGCGGAAGAATGGGGCGGGGTGATGGAAAGAGGGAGAATGGGGCGGGGTGATGGAAAGAGAGAGAATGGGGTGGGGTGATGGAAAGAGGGAGAATGGGGCGGGGTGATGGAAAGCGGGAGAATGGGGCGGGGAGATGGAAATAGGGAGAATGGGGTGGGGTGATGGAAAAAGGGAGAATGAGGCGGGGTGATGGAAAGAGGGAGAATGGGGCGGGGTGATGCAAAGAGGGAGAATGGGGCGGGGTGATGGAAAGCGGGAGAATGGGGCCGGGTGTTGGAAAGCTGGAGAATGGGGCAGGGTGATGGAACGCGGAAGAATGGGGCGGGGTGATGGAAAGCGGGAGAATGGGGCGGGGTGATGGAAAGCGGGAGAATGGGGCGGGATGATGGAAAGTGGGAGAATGGGGCGGGGTGATGGAAAGCGGGAGAATGGGGAGGGGTGATGGAAAGCTGGAGAATGTGGTGGGGTGATGGAAAGCGGAAGAATGGGGCGGGGTGATGGAAATAGGGAGAATGGGGCGAGGTGATGGAAAGAGGGAGAACGGGCAAGGTGATGGAAAGAGGGAGAATGGGCCGGGGTGATGGAAAGAGGGAGAATGGGGCGGGGTGATGGAAAGAGGGAGAATGGGGCGGGTTGATGGAAAGCGGGAGAATGGGGCGGGGTGATGGAAAGCGGGAGAATGGGGCGGGGTGATGGAAAGGGGGAGAATGGGGCAGGGTGATGGAAATAGGGAGAATGGGCCGGGCTGATGGAAATCGGGAGAATGGGGTGGGGTGATGGAAAGAGGGAGAATGGGGCGGGGTGATGAAAAGAGGGAGAATGGGACGGGGTGATGGAAAGCGGGAGAATGGGGCGGGGTGATGGAAAGCGGGAGAATGGGCCGGGGTGATGGAAAGCAGGAGAATGGGGCGAGGTGATGGAAAGCAGGAGAATGGGCCGGGGTGATGGAAAGCGGGAGAATGGAGCGGGGTGATGGAAAGCGGGAGAATGGGGCAGGGTGGTGGAAAGCGGGAGAATGGGGCGGGGTGATGGAAAGCGGGAGAATCTGTTATAGTCACAGTAGGCTCCAATGTGCCTAAAACGAAAGATAGAGTGCACAGTCGGATTTCTGCACAGCGGCTTCAAACGTTCATAACGTTTGATCACAGCTCCAAATGACTTGATTCAACTTGGATCTAGAGCGCCTTATTGTCGCCTACAATAGGCAATTTAGATCGCACGATTTGACCAAGTATTGACGACACAGGGTTGGTTTGAACGAACGGCACTATGGCAGCCACTATGGTCTTAGAACACAAGATAGGAAAGGTTAGGAAGAGTTACGAGTTGGGAATGACTCCCAGCTCCTACAAACCCCAAGAGCCGAGGTACAGTGATGTGGAACAGTGCCACACTGTCCCCAACCACGAAGGGTCTCGAAACTACCCTTCACTAGGGCCTACACCAAGTGAAATGTTACACTACACAAAGTAATGTAACTATCTTCAATATCTTGAGGTGTACCCTTTTGGCGAGCTTTGAAATCACTTGTGGATTGACACCAAGGCTCGGCTCTTCATCACAAACTCATCCTTGAGTTCTTGATGGGTCTGCTGCACACACCTGCGACACACCGAACGTTCGACACAGGACAAAACAGAAACCGCGCACGACAAAATAGAAACCGCGCGCGAGACACAAACGACCGCGTAACACGCGTCTAGCGATAACTCGCTATTCACTCGACACATACACTCGACATCATGACTCAACATTCACACACAATTATAAGCATTAAATATATAATATCCCATGCCCTCATACCATTCCATAGACACACACACATGCACGCACACGGACAACAAGCCGAGTGCAAACCATAGGGTTGCACCAACAGAATGGAGCGGGGTGATGGAAAGCGGGAGAATGGGGCGGGGTGATGGAAAGTGGGAGAATGGGGCGGGGTGATGGAAAGCGGGAGAATGGGGCAGGGTGATGGAAAGCGGGAGAATGGGGCAGGGTGGTGGAAAGCGGGAGAATGGGGCGGGGTGATGGAAAGCGGAAGAATGGGGCGGGGTGATGGAAAGAGGGAGAATGGGGCGGGGTGATGGAAAGAGAGAGAATGGGGTGGGGTGATGGAAAGAGGGAGAATGGGGCGGGGTGATGGAAAGCGGGAGAATGTGGCGGGGAGATGGAAATAGGGAGAATGGGGTGGGGTGATGGAAAAAGGGAGAATGAGGCGGGGTGATGGAAAGAGGGAGAATGGGGCGGGGTGATGCAAAGAGGGAGAATGGGGCGGGGTGATGGAAAGCGGGAGAATGGGGCCGGGTGTTGGAAAGCTGGAGAATGGGGCAGGGTGATGGAACGCGGAAGAATGGGGCGGGGTGATGGAAAGCGGGAGAATGGGGCGGGGTGATGGAAAGCGGGAGAATGGGGCGGGATGATGGAAAGTGGGAGAATGGGGCGGGGTGATGGAAAGCGGGAGAATGGGGAGGGGTGATGGAAAGCTGGAGAATGTGGTGGGGTGATGGAAAGCGGAAGAATGGGGCGGGGTGATGGAAATAGGGAGAATGGGGCGAGGTGATGGAAAGAGGGAGAACGGGCAAGGTGATGGAAAGAGGGAGAATGGGCCGGGGTGATGGAAAGAGGGAGAATGGGGCGGGGTGATGGAAAGAGGGAGAATGGGGCGGGTTGATGGAAAGCGGGAGAATGGGGCGGGGTGATGGAAAGCGGGAGAATGGGGCGGGGTGATGGAAAGGGGGAGAATGGGGCAGGGTGATGGAAATAGGGAGAATGGGCCGGGCTGATGGAAATCGGGAGAATGGGGTGGGGTGATGGAAAGAGGGAGAATGGGGCGGGGTGATGAAAAGAGGGAGAATGGGACGGGGTGATGGAAAGCGGGAGAATGGGGCGGGGTGATGGAAAGCGGGAGAATGGGCCGGGGTGATGGAAAGCAGGAGAATGGGGCGAGGTGATGGAAAGCAGGAGAATGGGCCGGGGTGATGGAAAGCGGGAGAATGGAGCGGGGTGATGGAAAGCGGGAGAATGGGGCAGGGTGGTGGAAAGCGGGAGAATGGGGCGGGGTGATGGAAAGCGGGAGAATGTGTTATAGTCACAGTAGGCTCCAATGTGCCTAAAACGAAAGATAGAGTGCACAGTCGGATTTCTGCACAGCGGCTTCAAACGTTCATAACGTTTGATCACAGCTCCAAATGACTTGATTCAACTTGAATCTAGAGCGCCTTATTGTCGCCTACAATAGGCAATTTAGATCGCACGATTTGACCAAGTATTGACGACACAGGGTTGGTTTGAACGAACGGCACTATGGCAGCCACTATGGTCTTAGAACACAAGATAGGAAAGGTTAGGAAGAGTTACGAGTTGGGAATGACTCCCAGCTCCTACAAACCCCAAGAGCCGAGGTACAGTGATGTGGAACAGTGCCACACTGTCCCCAACCACGAAGGGTCTCGAAACTACCCTTCACTAGGGCCTACACCAAGTGAAATGTTACACTACACAAAGTAATGTAACTATCTTCAATATCTTGAGGTGTACCCTTTTGGCGAGCTTTGAAATCACTTGTGGATTGACACCAAGGCTCGGCTCTTCATCACAAACTCATCCTTGAGTTCTTGATGGGTCTGCTGCACACACCTGCGACACACCGAACGTTCGACACAGGACAAAATAGAAACCGCGCACGACAAAATAGAAACCGCGCGCGAGACACAAACGACCGCGTAACACGCGTCTAGCGATAACTCGCTATTCACTCGACACATACACTCGACATCATGACTCAACATTCACACACAATTATAAGCATTAAAAATATATTATCCCATGCCCTCATACCATTCCATAGACACACACACATGCACGCACACGGACAACAAGCCGAGTGCAAACCATAGGGTTGCACCAACAGAATGGAGCGGGGTGATGGAAAGCGGGAGAATGGGGCGGGGTGATGGAAAGTGGGAGAATGGGGCGGGGTGATGGAAAGCGGGAGAATGGGGCAGGGTGATGGAAAGCGGGAGAATGGGGCAGGGTGGTGGAAAGCGGGAGAATGGGGCGGGGTGATGGACAGCGGGAGAATGGGGCGGAGTGATGGAAAGCGGGAGAATGGGGCGGGGTGATGGAACGTGGGAGAAAGGGGCGGGGTGATGGAAAGTGGGAGAATGGGGCGGGGTGATGGAAAGCGGGAGAATGGGGCAGGGTGATGGAAAGCGGGAGAATGGGGCGCGGTGATGGAAAGCGGGAGAATGGGGCGGGGTGATGGAAAGCGGGAGAATGGGGCGGGGTGATGGAAAGCAGGAGAATGGGGCGGGGTGATGGAAAGCGGGAGAATGGGGCGGGATGATGGAAAGAGGAAGAATATGGCGGGGTGATGGAAAGCGGGAGAATGGGGCAGGGTGATGGAAAGCGGGAGAATGGGGCGGGGTGATGGAAAGCAGGAGAATGGGGCGGGGTGATGGAAAACGGAAGAATGGGCCGGGGTGATGGAAAGCGGGAGAATGGAGCGGGGTGATGGAAAGCGGGAGAATGGGGCAGGGTGGTGGAAAGCGGGAGAATGGGGCGGGGTGATGGAAAGCGGGAGAATGGAGCGGGGTGATGGAAAGCGGGAGAATGGGGCGGGGTGATGGAAAGCGGGAGAATGGGGCAGGGTGATGGAAAGCGGGAGAATGGGGCAGGGTGGTGGAAAGCGGGAGAATGGGGCGGGGTGATGGAAAGCGGGAGAATGGGGCGGAGTGATGGAAAGTGGGAGAATGGGGCGGGGTGATGGAACGCGGGAGAAAGGGGCGGGGCGATGGAAAGTGGGAGAACGGGGCGGGGTGATTGAAAGCGGGAGAATGGGGCGGGGTGATGGAAAGAGGGAGAATGGGGCGGGGTGATGGAAAGAGGGAGAATGGGGCAGGGTGATGGAAAGCGGGAGAATGGGGCGGGGTGATGGAAAGCGGGAGAATGGGGCGGGGTGATGGAAAGCGGGAGAATGGGGCGGGGTGATGGAAAGCGGGAGAATGGGGCGGGGTGATGGAAAGCAGGAGAATGGGGCGGGGTGATGGAAAGCGGGAGAATGGGGCGGGATGATGGAAAGAGGAAGAATATGGCGGGGTGATGGAAAGCGGGAGAATGGGGCAGGGTGATGGAAAGCGGGAGAATGGGGCGGGGTGATGGAAAGCAGGAGAATGGGGCGGGGTGATGGAAAACGGAAGAATGGGCCGGGGTGATGGAAAGCGGGAGAATGGAGCGGGGTGATGGAAAGCGGGAGAATGGGGCAGGGTGGTGGAAAGCGGGAGAATGGGGCGGGGTGATGGAAAGCGGGAGAATGGAGCGGGGTGATGGAAAGCGGGAGAATGGGGCGGGGTGATGGAAAGCGGGAGAATGGGGCAGGGTGATGGAAAGCGGGAGAATGGGGCAGGGTGGTGGAAAGCGGGAGAATGGGGCGGGGTGATGGAAAGCGGGAGAATGGGGCGGAGTGATGGAAAGTGGGAGAATGGGGCGGGGTGATGGAACGCGGGAGAAAGGGGCGGGGCGATGGAAAGTGGGAGAACGGGGCGGGGTGATTGAAAGCGGGAGAATGGGGCGGGGTGATGGAAAGAGGGAGAATGGGGCGGGGTGATGGAAAGAGGGAGAATGGGGCAGGGTGATGGAAAGCGGGAGAATGGGGCGGGGTGATGGAAAGCGGGAGAATGGGGCGGGGTGATGGAAAGCGGGAGAATGGGGCGGGGTGATGGAAAGCGGGAGAATGGGGCGGGGTGATGGAAAGCAGGAGAATGGGGCGGGGTGATGGAAAGCGGGAGAATGGGGCGGAGTGATGGAAAGCGGGAGAATGGGGCGGGGTGATGGAAAGCAGGAGAATGGGGCGGGGTGATGGAAAGCGGGAGAATGGGGTGGGGTGATGGAAAGAGGAAGAATATGGCGGGATGATGGAAAGCGGGAGAATGGGGCAGGTGATGGAAAGCGGGAGAGTGGGGCAGGGTCATGGAAAGCGGGAGAATGGGGCAGGGTGGTGGAAAGTGGGAGAATGGGGCAGGCTGATGGAAAGAGGGGGAATGGGGCGGGGTGATGGAAAGAGGGAGAATGGGGCGGGGTGATGAAAAGCGGAAGAATGGGGCGGGGTGATGGAAAGAGGGAGAATTGGGCGGGGTGATGAAAAGCGGAAGAATGGGGCACGGTGATGGAAAGAGGGAGAATGGGGCGGGGTGATGGAAAGAGGGTTAATGGGGCGGGGTGATGGAAAGCGGAAGAATGGGGCTGGGTGATGGAAAGCAGGAGAATGGGGCGGGGTGATGGAAAGCGGGAGAATGGGGCGGGGTGATGGAAAGCGGGAGAATGGGGCGGGGTGATGGAAAGCGGGAGAATGGGGCGGGGTGATGGAAAACGAGAGAATGGGGCGGGGTGATGGAAAGCGGGAGAATGGGGCGGGGTAATGGAAAGCGGGAGAATGGGGCGGGGTGATGGAAAGAGGAAGAATATGGCGGGGTGATGGAAAGCGGGAGAATGGGGCGGGGTGATGGAAAGCGGGAGAATGGGGCGGGGTGATGGAAAGCAGGAGAATGGGGCGGGGTGATGCAAAACGGGAGAATGGGCCGGGGTGATGGAAAGCGGGAGAATGGAGCGGGGTGATGGAAAGCGGGAGAATGGGGCAGGGTGGTGGAAAGCGGGAGAATGGGGCGGGGTGATGGAAAGCGGGAGAATGGAGCGGGGTGATGGAAAGCGGGAGAATGGGGCGGGGTGATGGAAAGCGGGAGAATGGGGCGGGGTGATGGAAAGCGGGAGAATGGGGCAGGGTGATGGAAAGCGGGAGAATGGGGCAGGGTGGTGGAAAGCGGGAGAATGGGGCGGGGTGATGGAAAGCGGGAGAATGGGGCGGAGTGATGGAAAGCGGGAGAATGGGGCGGGGTGATGGAACGCGGGAGAAAGGGGCAGGGCGATGGAAAGTGGGAGAACGGGGCGGGGTGATTGAAAGCGGGAGAATGGGGCGGGGTGATGGAAAGAGGGAGAATGGGGCGGGGTGATGGAAAGAGGGAGAATGGGGCAGGGTGATGGAAAGCGGGAGAATGGGGCGGGGTGATGGAAAGCGGGAGAATGGGGCGGGGTGATGGAAAGCGGGAGAATGGGGCGGGGTGATGGAAAGCGGGAGAATGGGGCGGGGTGATGGAAAGCAGGAGAATGGGGCGGGGTGATGGAAAGCGGGAGAATGGGGCGGAGTGATGGAAAGCGGGAGAATGGGGCGGGGTGATGGAAAGCAGGAGAATGGGGCGGGGTGATGGAAAGCGGGAGAATGGGGTGGGGTGATGGAAAGAGGAAGAATATGGCGGGATGATGGAAAGCGGGAGAATGGGGCAGGTGATGGAAAGCGGGAGAGTGGGGCAGGGTCATGGAAAGCGGGAGAATGGGGCAGGGTGGTGGAAAGTGGGAGAATGGGGCGGGCTGATGGAAAGAGGGGGAATGGGGCGGGGTGATGGAAAGAGGGAGAATGGGGCGGGGTGATGAAAAGCGGAAGAATGGGGCGGGGTGATGGAAAGAGGGAGAATTGGGCGGGGTGATGAAAAGCGGAAGAATGGGGCACGGTGATGGAAAGAGGGAGAATGGGGCGGGGTGATGGAAAGAGGGTTAATGGGGCGGGGTGATGGAAAGCGGAAGAATGGGGCTGGGTGATGGAAAGCAGGAGAATGGGGCGGGGTGATGGAAAGCGGGAGAATGGGGCGGGGTGATGGAAAGCGGGAGAATGGGGCGGGGTGATGGAAAGCGGGAGAATGGGGCGGGGTGATGGAAAACGAGAGAATGGGGCGGGGTGATGGAAAGCGGGAGAATGGGGCGGGGTAATGGAAAGCGGGAGAATGGGGCGGGGTGATGGAAAGAGGAAGAATATGGCGGGGTGATGGAAAGCGGGAGAATGGGGCGGGGTGATGGAAAGCGGGAGAATGGGGCGGGGTGATGGAAAGCAGGAGAATGGGGCGGGGTGATGGAAAACGGGAGAATGGGCCGGGGTGATGGAAAGCGGGAGAATGGAGCGGGGTGATGGAAAGCGGGAGAATGGGGCAGGGTGGTGGAAAGCGGGAGAATGGGGCGGGGTGATGGAAAGCGGGAGAATGGAGCGGGGTGATGGAAAGCGGGAGAATGGGGCGGGGTGATGGAAAGCGGGAGAATGGGGCGGGGTGATGGAAAGCGGGAGAATGGGGCAGGGTGATGGAAAGCGGGAGAATGGGGCAGGGTGGTGGAAAGCGGGAGAATGGGGCGGGGTGATGGAAAGCGGGAGAATGGGGCGGAGTGATGGAAAGCGGGAGAATGGGGCGGGGTGATGGAACGCGGGAGAAAGGGGCAGGGCGATGGAAAGTGGGAGAACGGGGCGGGGTGATGGAAAGCAGGAGAATGGGGCGGGGTGATGGAAAGAGGGAGAATGGGGCGGGGTGATGGAAAGAGGGAGAATGGGGCAGGGTGATGGAAAGCGGGAGAATGGGGCGGGGTGATGGAAAGCGGGAGAATGGGGCGGGGTGATGGAAAGCGGGAGAATGGGGCGGGGTGATGGAAAGCGGGAGAATGGGGCGAGGTGATGGAATGCAGGAGAATGGGGCGGGGTGATGGAAAGCGGGAGAATGGGGCGGAGTGATGGAAAGCGGGAGAATGGGGCGGGGTGATGGAAAGCAGGAGAATGGGGCGGGGTGATGGAAAGCGGGAGAATGGGGCGGGGTGATGGAAAGAGGAAGAATATAACGGGGTGATGGAAAGCGGGAGAATGGGGCAGGGTGATGGAAAGCGGGAGAGTGGGGCAGGGTGATGGAGAGCGGGAGAATGGGGCAGGGTGGTGGAAAGCGGGAGAAAGGGGCGGGCTGATGGAAAGAGGGGGAATGGGGCGGGGTGATGGAAAGAGGGAGAATGGGGCGGGGTGATGAAAAGCGGAAGAATGGGGCGGGGTGATGGAAAGAGAAAGAATGGGGCGGGGTGATGAAAAGCAGAAGAATGGGGCACGGTGATGGAAAGAGGGAGAATGGGGCGGGGTGATGGAAAGAGGGTCAATGGGGCGGGGTGATGGAAAGCGGAAGAATGGGGCGGGGTGATGGAAAGCAGGAGAATGGGGCGGAGTGATGGAAAGAGGGAGAATAGGGCGGGGTGATGGGAAGAGGGAGAATGGGGCGGGGTGATGGAAAGCAGGAGAATGGGGCGGGGTGATGGAAAGCGGGAGAATGGGGCGGGGTGATGGAAAGCGGGAGAACGGGGTGGGGTGATGGAAAGAGGGAGAATGGGGCGGGGTGATGGAAAGCGGGAGAATGAGGCGGGGCTATGAAAAGAGGGAGAATGGGGCAGGGTGATGGAAAGCGGGAGAATGGGGCGGGGTGATGGAAAGAGGGAGAATGGGGCGGGGTGATGGAAGGAGGGAGAATGGGGCGGGGTGATGGAAAGCGGGAGAATGGGGCGGGGTGATGGAAAGCGGGAGAATGGGGCTCGGTGATGGAAAGTGGGAGAATGGGGCGGGGTGATGGAAGGAGGGAGAATGGGGCGGGGTGATGGAAAGCGGGAGAATGGGGCGGGGTGATGGAAAGCGGGAGAATGGGGCTGGGTGATGGAAAGTGGGAGAATGGGGCGGGGTGATGGAAAGTGGGAGAATGGGGCGTGGTGATGGAAAGAGGGAGAATAGGGCGGGGTGATGGGAAGAGGGAGAATGGGGCGGGGTGATGGAAAGCAGGAGAATGGGGCGGGGTGATGGAAAGCGGGAGAATGGGGCGGGGTGATGGAAAGCGGGAGAACGGGGTGGGGTGATGGAAAGAGGGAGAATGGGGCGGGGTGATGGAAAGCGGGAGAATGGGGCGGGGCTATGAAAAGAGGGAGAATGGGGCAGGGTGATAGAAAGCGGGAGAATGGGGCGGGGTGATGGAGAGAGGGAGAATGGGGCGGGGTGATGGAAAGTGGGAGAATGGGGCGGGGTGATGGAAAGCGGGAGAATGGGGCGGGGTGATGGAAAGCGGGAGAATGGGGCTCGGTGATGGAAAGTGGGAGAATAGGGCGGGGTGATGGAAGGAGGGAGAATGGGGCGGGGTGATGGAAAGAGGGAGAATGGGGCGGGGTGATGGAAAGCGGAAGAATGGGGCTGGGTGATGGAAAGTGGGAGAATGGGGCGGGGTGATGGAAAGTGGGAGAATGGGGCGTGGTGATGGAAGGAGGGAGAATGGGGTGGGGTGATGGAAAGCGGGAGATTGGGGCAGGGTGATGGAAAGCGGGAGAATGGGGCGGGGTGATGGAAAGGGGGAGAATGGGGCGGGGTGTTGGAAAGCGGGGAGAATGGGGCGAGGTGATGGAAAGCGGGAGAATGGGGCGGGTGATGGAAAGGGGGAGAATGGGCGGGGGTGATGGAAGGAGGGAGAATTGGGAGGGGTGATGGAAAGCGGGGGAATGGGGCGGGATGATGGGAAGCCAAAGTATGGGGCGAGGTGATGGAAAGCGGGAGAATGGGGCGGGGTGATGGAAAGCAGGAGAACGGGGCGGGGTGATGGAAAGAGGGAGAATGGGGTGGGCCGATGGGAAGCGGGAGAATGGGGCGGGGTTATGGAAAGAGGGAGAATGGGGCGGGGTGATGGAAAGAGGGAGAATGGGGCGGGGTGATGGAAAGAGGGAGAATAGGGCGGGGTGATGGGAAGAGGGAGAATGGGACGGGGTGATGGAAAGCAGGAGAATGGGGCGGGGTGATGGAAAGCGGGAGAATGGGGCGGGGTGATGGAAAGCGGGAGAATGGGGCGGGGCTATGAAAAGAGGGAGAATGGGGCAGGGTGATGGAAAGCGGGAGAATGGGGCGGGGTGATGGAAAGAGGGAGAATGGGGCGGGGTGATGGAAAGAGGGAGAACGGGGCGGGGTGATGGAAAGCGGAAGAATGGGGCGGGGTGATGGAAAAAGGGAGAATGGGGCGGGGTGATAGAAATCGGGAGAATGGGGCGGGGTGATGGAAAGAGGGGAGGATGGGGTGGGGTGATGAAATGCAAAAGAATGGGGCGGGGTGATGGAAAGCGGGAGAATGGGGCGGGGTGATGGAAGACGGGAGAATGGGGTGGGGTGATGGAAGGCGGGAGAATTGGGCAGGGTGATGGAAAGATGGAGAATGGGGTGGGGTGATGGAAGGCGGGAGAGTGGGGCGGGGTGATGTAAAGATGGAGAATGGGGCGGGGTGATGGAAAGTGGGAGAATGGGGCGGGGTGATGGAAAGCGGGAGAATGGGGCGGGGTGATGGAAAGAGGGATAATGGGGCGGGGAGATGGAAAGAGGAAGAATGGGGCGGGGTGATGGAAAGAGGGAGAATGGGACGGGATGATGGAAAGCGGGAGAATGGGGCGGGGTGATGAAAAGCGGGAGAATGGGGCGGGGTGATCGAAAGCGAGAGAATAGGGCGGGGTGATGGGAAGAGGGAGAATGGGGCGGGGTGATGGAAAGCAGGAGAATGGGGCGGGGTGATGGAAAGCGGGAGAATGGGGCGGGGTGATGGAAAGAGGGAGAATGGGGCGGGGTGATGGAAAGCGGGAGAATGGGGCGGGGCTATGAAAAGAGGGAGAATGGGGCAGGGTGATGGAAAGCGGGAGAATGGGGCGGGGTGATGGAAAGAGGGAGAATGGGGCGGGGTGATGGAAAGAGGGAGAACGGGGCGGGGTGATGGAAAGCGGGAGAATGGGGCGGGGTGATGGAAAAAGGGAGAATGGGGCGGGGTGATAGAAATCGGGACAATGGGGCGGGGTGATGGAAAGAGGGGAGGATGGGGTGGGGTGATGGAACGCAAAAGAATGGGGCGGGGTGATGGAAAGCGGGAGAATGGGACGGGGTGATGGAAAGCGGGAGAATTGGGTGGGGTGATGGATAGAGGGAGAATGGGGCAGGGTGATGGAAAGAGGGAGAATGGGGCGGGGTGATGGAAAGCGGGAGAATTGGTCGAGGTGATGGAAAGCGGGAGAATGGGGCAGGGTGATGGAAAGAGGGAGAATGGGGCGGGGTGATGGAAAGTGGGAGAATGGGGCGGGGTGATGGAAAGCGGGAGAATGGGGCGGGGTGATGGAAAAAAGGAGAATAGGGAGTGGTGATGGAAAGAGGGAGAATTGGGCGGGGTGATGGAAAGCGGGACAATGGAGCGGGATGATGGAAAGCGAGAGAATGGGGCAGGGTGATGGAAAGCGGGAGAATGGGGCGGGGTGATGGAAAGAGGGAAAATGGCGCGGGGTGATAGAAAGTGGGAGAATGGGGCGGGGTGATGGAAAGAGGGAGAATGGGCCGGGGTGATGGAAAGAGGGAGAATGGGGCGGGGTGATGGAAAGCGAGAGAATGGGGCGGGGTGATGGAAAGAGGGAGAATGGGGCGGGGTGATGGAAAGCGGGAGAATGGGGCGGGGTGATGGAAAGCGGGAGAATTGGGCGGGGTGATGGAAAGCGGGAGAATAGGGCGGGGTGATGAAAGGCGGGAGAATGGGGCGGGGTGATGGAAAGAGGGAGAATGGGGCAGGGTGATGGAAAGAGGGAGAATGGGGAGGGGTGATGGAAAGAGGGAGAATTGGGCGGGGGGATGGAAAGCGGGAGAATGGAGCGGGCGGGGTGATGGAAAGCGGGAGAATGGGGCGGGGTGATGGAAAGTGAGAGAACGGGTCGGGGTGATGGAAAGCGGGAGAATGGGGCGGGGTGATGGAAAGCGGGAGAATGGGGCGGGGTGATGGAAAGCGGGAAAATGGGCCGGGGTGATGGAAACCGGGAGAATGGGGCGGGGTGATGGAAAGCGGGAGAATGGGGTGGGGTGATGGAAAGCGGGAGAATGGGGCGGGGTGATGGAAAGCGTTAGAATGGGGCGGGGTGATGGAAAGCGGGAGAATGGGGCGGGGTGATGGAAAGAGGGAGAATGGGGCGGGGTGATGGAAGGCAAGAGAAAGGGGCGGGGTGATGGGAAGCGGGAGAATTGGGCGGGGTGATGGAAAGCGGGAGAATGGGGCGGGGTGATGAAAGGCGGGAGAATGGGGCGGGGTGATGGGAAGAGGGAGAATGGGGCGGGGTGATAAAAAGCGTGAGAATGGGGCGGGGTGATGGAAAGAGGGAAAATGGGGCGGGGTGATGGAAAGCGGGAGAATGGGGCGGGGTGATGGAAAGAGGGAGAATGAGGCGGGGTGATGGAAAGTGGGAGAATGGGGCGGGGTGATGGAAAGCGGGAGAATGGGGCGAGGTGATGGAAAGCGGGAGAATGGGGCGGGGTGATGGAAATCGGGAGAATGGGGCGGGGTGATGGAAAGCGGGAGAATGGGGCGGGGTGATGGAAAGAGGGAGAATGGGGCGGGGTGATAGAAAGCAGGAGAATGGGGCGGGGTGATGGAGAGCGGGAGAATGGGGCGAGGTGATGGAAAGCGGGAGAATGGGGCGGGGTGATGGAAATCGGGAGAATGGGGCGGGGTGATGGAAAGCGGGAGAATGGGGCGGGGTGATGGAAAGAGGGAGAATGGGGCGGGGTGATAGAAAGCAGGAGAATGGGGCGGGATGATGGAAAGAGGGAGAATGGGGAGGGGTGATGGAAAGAGTGAGAATGGGGCGGGGTGATGGAAAGTGGGAGAATGAGGCGGGGTGTTGGAAAGCGGGAGAATGGGGCGGGGTGATGGAAAGCGGGAGAATGGGGCGGGGTCATGGAAAGCGGGAGAATGGGGCGGGGTGATGGAAATTGAGACAATGGGGCGGGGTGATGGAAAGCGGGAGAATGGGGCAGGGTGATGGAAAACGGGAGGATGGGAAGGGGTGGTGGAAAGTGGGAGAATTGGGCGGGGTGATGGATAGAGGGAGAATGGGCGGGGTGATGGAAAGCGGGATAATGGGGCGGGGTGATGGAAGGAGGGAGAATGGGGCGGGGTGATGGAAAGCGGGAGAATTGGGTAGGGTGATGGAAAGATGGAGAATGGGGTGGGGTGATGGAAGGCGGGGGAATGGGGCGGGGTGATGGAAAGAGGGAGAATGGGGAGGGGTGATGGAAAGAGTGAGAATGGGGCGGGGTGATGGAAAGCGGGAGAACGAGGCGGGGTGTTGGAAAGCGGGAGAATGGGGCGGGGTGATGGAAAGCGGGAGAATGGGGCGGGGTCATCGAAAGCAGGAGAATGGGGCGGGGTGATGGAAAGCGGGAGAATGGGGCGAGGTGATGGAAAGCGGGAGAATGGGGCGGGGTGATGGAAATCGGGAGAATGGGGCGGGGTGATGGAAAGCGGGAGAATAAGGCGGGGTGATGGAAAGCAAGAGAATGGGGCAGGGTGATGGAAAACGGGAGAATGGGACGGGGTGATGGAAAGTGGGAGAATTGGGCGGGGTGATGGATAGAGGGAGAATGGGGCGGGGTGATGGAAAGCAGGATAATGGGGCGGGGTGATTGAAAGAGGGAGAATGGGGTGGGGTGATGGAAGGCGGGAGAATGGGGCGGGGTGATGGAAAGCGGGAGAATTGGGCGGGGTGATGGAAAGCGGGAGAATAGGGCGGGGTGATGAAAGGCGGGAGAATGGGGCGGGGTGATGGAAAGAGGGAGAATGGGGCGGGGTGATGGAAAGAGGGAGAATGGGAAGGGGTGATGGAAAGAGGGAGAATTGGGCGGGGTGATGGAAAGAGGGAGAATGGGGAGGGGTGATGGAAAGAGTGAGAATGGGCCGGGGTGATGGAAAGCAGGAGAATGGGGCGGGGTGATGAAGAGCGGGAGAATGGGGCGAGGTGATGGAAAGCGGGAGAATGGGGCGGGGTGATGGAAAGCAGGAGAATGGGGCGGGGTGATGGAAAGCTTGAAAATGGGGCGGGGTGATGGAAAGCGGGAGAATGGGGCGGGGTGATGGAAAGCGGGAGAATGGGGCGGGGTGATGGAAAGCGGGAGAATGGGGCAGGGTGATGGAAAGCGGGAGAATGGGGCAGGGTGGTGGAAAGCGGGAGAATAGGGCGGGGTGATGGAAAGCGGGAGAATGGGGCGGGGTGATGGAAAGCGGGAGAATGGGGCGGGGTGATGGAACGCGGGAGAAAGGGGAGGGGTGATGGAAAGCGGGAGAGTGTGGCGGGGTGATGGAAAGAGGGAGAATAGGGTGGGGTGATGGAAAGAGGGAGAATGGGGCAGGGTGATGGAAAGAGGGAGAATGGGGCGGGGTGATGGAAAGCGGGAGAATGGGGCGGGGTGATGGAAAGCGGGAGAATGGGGCGGGGTGATGAAAAGCGGAAGAATGGGGCGGGGTGAAGAAAAGCGGGAGAATGGGGCGGGCTGATGGAAAGAGGGGGAATGGGGCGGGGTGAAGGAAAGTGGGAGAATGGGGAAGGGTGATGAAAAGCGGAAGAATGGGGTGGGGTGATGGAAAGAGGGAGAATGGGGCGGGGTGAAGAAAAGCGGGAGAATGGGGCGGGTTGATGGAAAGAGGGAGAATGGGGCGGGGTGAATGGGGCGGGGTGATGGAAAGCGGAAGAATGGGGCGGGGTGATCGAAAGCGGGAGAATGGGGCGGGGTGATGGAAAGCGGGAGAATGGGGCGGGGTGATGGAAATAGGGAGGATGGGGCGGGGTGATGGAAAGAGGGAGCATGGGGCGGGGTGATGGAAAGAGGGAGAATGGGGAGGGGTGATGGAAAGAGGGAGAATTGGGCGGGGTGATGGAAAGAGGGAGAATGGGGAGGGGTGATGGAAAGAGTGAGAATGGGCCGGGGTGATGGAAAGCAGGAGAATGGGGCGGGGTGATGAAAAGCGGGAGAATGGGGCGAGGTGATGGAAAGCGGGAGAATGGGGCGGGGTGATGGAAAGCGGGAGAATTGGGCGGGTTGATGGAAAGCGGGAGAATGGGGCGGGGTGATGGAAAGCTGGAGAATGGGGCGGGGTGATGGAAAGCGGGAGAATGGGGCGGGGTGATGGTAAGCTGGAGAATGGGGCGGGGTGATGGAAAGCGGAAGAATGGGGCGGGGTGATGGAAATAGGGAGGATGGGGCGGGGTGATGGAAAGAGGGAGCATGGGGCAGGGTGATGGAAATAGGGAGAATGGGGCGGGGTGATGGAAAGAGGGAGACTGGGGCGGGGTGATGGAAAGAGGGAGAATGTGGCGGGGTGATGGAAAGCGGGAGAATGGGGCGGGGTGACGGAAAGTGGGAGAATGGGGCGGGGTGATGGAAAGTGGGAGAATGGAGCGGGGTGATGGAAATAGGGAGATTGGGCCAGGGTGATGGAAAGCGGGAGAACGGGGCGGGGTGGTGGAAAGTGGGAGAATGGGGCGGGGTGATGAAAAGAGGGAGAATGGGACGGGGTGATCGAAAGCGGGAGAATGAGGCGGGGTGATGGAAAGCGGGAGAATAGGGCGGGGTGATGGAAAGCAGGAGAATGGGGCGGGGTGATGGAAAACGGGAGAATGGGGCGGGGTGATGGAAAGCGGGAGAATGGGGCGGGGTGATCAAAATAGGGAGAATGGGGCGGGGTGATAGAAAGCGGGAGAATGGGGCGGGCTGATGGAAAGAGGGGGAATTGGGCGGGGTGATGGAAAGCGGGAGAATGGGGTGGGGTGATGGAAAGCGGGAGAATGGGGCAGGGTGATGGAAAGAGGGAGAATGGGGTGGGGTGATGGAAAGATGGAGAAAGGGGCGGGTGATGAAAAGAGGGAGAATGGGGCGGGGTGATGGAAAGAGGGAGAATGGGGCGGGGTGATGGAATGCGGGAGAATGGGGCGGAGTGATGGAAAGCGGGAGAATGGGGCGGGGTGATGGAAAGCGGGAGAATGGGGCGGGGTGCGTCCGGACACAAGCATGCATCCGGACACAAGCATGCGACCGGACACAAGTATGCGTCCGGACACAAGCATGCGACCGGGCACAAGCATGCGTCCAAACACAAGCATGCGTCCGGACACAAGCATGCGTCCGGACACAAGCATGCGACCGGACTCAAGCATGCGTCCAGACACAAGCATGCGACCGGACACAAGCATGCGACCGGACTCAAGCATGCGTCCGGACACAAGCATGCGTCCGGACACAAGCATGCGTTCGGACACAAGCATGAGTCCGGACACAAGCATGCGTCCGGACACAAGCATGCGACCGGACTCAAGCATGCGACCTGACTCAAGCATGCGTCCAGACACAAGCATGCGACCGGACTCAAGCATGCGTCCGGACACAAGCATGCGACCGGACTCAAGCATGTTTCCAGACACAAACATGCGTCCGGACACAAGCATGCGTCCGGACACAAGCATGCGTCCGGACACAAGCATGCGTCCGGACACAAGCATGCGACCGGACTCAGGCATGCGTCCGGACACAAGCTTGCGTCCGGACACAAGCATGCGTTCGGACACAAGCATGCGTCCGGACACAAGCATGCGTCCGGACACAAGCATGCGACCGGACTCAGGCATGCGTCCGAACACAAGCATGCGACCGGACACAAGCATGCTTGTGTTTGGACGCATGCTTGTGCCCGGTCGCATGCTTGTGTCCGGACGCATGCTTGTGTCCGGTCGCATGCTTGTGTCCGGACGCATGCTTGTGTCCAGACGCATGCTTGTGTCTGGACGCATGCTTGTGCCCGGTCGCATGCTTGTGTCCGGTCGCATGCTTGTGTCCGGACGCATGCTTGTGTTCGGACGCATGCTTTTGTCCGGACGCATGCTTGTGTCCGACGCATGCTTGTGTCCGGACGCATGCTTGTGTCCGGACGCATTCTTGTGTCCAGACGCATACTTGTGCCCGGTCGCATGCTTGTGTCCGGACGCATGCTTGGGTCCGGTCGCATGCTTGAGTCCGGTCGAATGCTAGTGTCCGGACACAAGCATGCTTGTGTCCGGTCGCATGCTTGTGTCCGGACGCATGCTTGTGTCCGGTCGCATGCTTGTGTGCGGACGCATGCTTGTGTCCGGACGCATGCATGTGTCCAGACGCATGCTTGTGTCTGGAGGCATGCTTGAGTCCGGTCGCATGCTTGTGTCCGGACACAAGCATGCGTCCGAACACAAGCATGCGACCGGACCCAAGCATGCGGTCGGACCCAAGCATGCGTCCGGACACAAGCATGCGACCGGACACAAGCATGCGTCCGGACACAAGCATGCGTCCGGACACAAGCATGCGTCCGGACACAAGCATGCGTCCGGACACAAGCATGCGTCCGGACACAAGCATGCGACCGGGCACAAGCATGCGTCCAAACACAAGCATGCGACCGGACTCAAGCATGCGACCGGACACAAGCATGCGTCCGGACACAAGCATGCGACTGGGCACAAGCATGCGTCTGGACACAAGCATGCGTCCGGACACAAGCATGCGTCCGGACACAAGCATGCGTCGGACACAAGCATGCGTCCGGACACAAGCATGCGTCCGAACACAAGCATGCGTCCGGACACAAGCATGCGACCGGACACAAGCATGCGACCGGGCACAAGCATGCGTCCGGACACAAGCATGCCTCCGGACACAAGCATGCGTCCGGACACAAGCATGCGACCGGACACAAGCATGCGTCCAGACACAAGCATGCGACCGGGCACAAGCATGCGTCCAAACACAAGCATGCTTGTGTCCGGTCGCATGCTTGTGTTCGGCCGCATGCTTGAGTTTGGTCGCATGCTTGTGTCCGGACGCATGCTTGTGTCCGGACGCATGCTTGTGTCCGAACGCATGCTTGTGTCCGGACGCAAGCTTGTGTCCGGACGCATGCTTGAGTCCGGTCGCATGCTTGTGTCCGGACGCATGCTTGTGTCCGGACGCTTGCTTGTGTCCGGACGCATGCTTGTGTCCGGATGCATGCTTGTGTCTGGACGCATGCTTGAGTCCGGTCGCATGCTTGTGTCGGAACGCATAATTGTGTCCGGACGCATGCTTGAGCCCGGTCGCATGCTTGTGTCTGGACGCATGCTTGAGTCCGGTCGCATGCTTGAGTCCGGTCGCATGCTTGTCTCCGGACGCATGCTTGTGTCCGGACGCATGCTTGTGTCCGAACGCATGCTTGTGTCCGGATGCATGCTTGTGTCCGGACGCATGCTTGAGTCCGGTCGCATGCTTGTGTCCGGTCGCATGCTTGTGTCTGGACGCATGCTTGTGTCCGGTCGCATGCTTGTGTCCGGACGCATGCTTGTGTCCGGACGCATGCTTGTGTTTGGACGCATGCTTGTGCCCGGTCGCATGCTTGTGTCCGGACGCATGCTTGTGTCCGGTCGCATGCTTGTGTCCGGACACACCCCGCCCCATTCTCAAGCTTTCCCTCACCTCGCCCCATGCTCCCGCTTTCCATGCGACCGGACCCAAGCATGCGGTCGGACTCAAGCATGCGGTCGGACACAAGCATGCGACCGAACACAAGCATGCGTCCGGACACAAGCATGCGTCCGGACACAAGCATGCGTCCGGACACAAGCATGCGACCGGACTCAAGCATGCGTCCGGACACAAGCATGCGACCGGACACAAGCACGCGTCCGGACACAAGCATGCGTCCGGACACAAGCATGCGACCGGACCCAAGCATGCGGTCGGACTCAAGCATGCAGTCGGACACAAGCATGCGACCGGACACAAGCATGCGTCCGGACACAAGCATGCGTCCGGACACAAGCATGCGTCCGGACACAAGCATGCGTCCGGACACAAGCATGCGTCCGGACACAAGCATGCGTCCGGACACAAGCATGCGACCGTACACAAGCATGCGTCCGGACACAAGCATGCGTCCGGACACAAGCATGCGACCGGACCCAAGCATGCGTCCGGACGCAAGCATGCGACCGGACCCAAGCATGCGGTCGGACCCAAGCATGCGTCCGGACACAAGCATGCGACCGGACACAAGCATGCGTCCGGACACAAGCATGCGTCCGGACACAAGCATGCGACCGGACACAAGCATGCGTCCGGACACAAGCATGCGTCCGGACACAAGCATGCGACCGGACACAAGCATGCGGTCGGACCCAAGCATGCGTCCGGACACAAGCATGCGACCGGACACAAGCATGCGTCCGGACCCAAGCATGCGTCCGGACACAAGCATGCGTCCGGACACAAGCATGTGTCCGGACACAAGCATGCGTCCGGACACAAGCATGCGTCCGGACACAAGCATGCGACCGGACACAAGCATGCGTCCGGACACAAGCATGCGTCCGGACACAAGCATGCGACCGGACCCAAGCATGCGTACACAAGCATGCGACCGGACCCAAGCATGCGGTCGGACCCAAGCATGCGTCCGGACACAAGCATGCGACCGTTCACAAGCATGCGTCCGGACACAAGCATGCGTCCGGACACAAGCATGCGACCGGACACAAGCATGCGTCCGGACACAAGCATGCGTCCGGACACAAGCATGCGTCCGAACACAAGCATGCGTCCGGACCCAAGCATGCGGTCGGACCCAAGCATGCGTCCGGACACAAGCATGCGTCCGGACACAAGCATGCGTCCGGACACAAGCATGCGTCCGGACACAAGCATGCGTCCGGACACAAGCATGCGTCCGGACACAAGCATGCGTCCGGACACAAGCATGCGACCGGACTCAAGCATGCGTCCGGACACAAGCATGCGTCCGGACACAAGCATGCGTCCGGACACAAGCATGCGTCCGGACACAAGCATGCGTCCGGACACAAGCATGCGTCCGGACTCAAGCATGCGACCGGACCCAAGCATGCGGTCGGACCCAAGCATGCGTCCGGACACAAGCATGCGACCGGACACAAGCATGCGACCGGACCCAAGCATGCGGTCGGACACAAGCATGCGTCCGGACACAAGCATGCGACCGGACTCAAGCATGCGGTCGGACACAAGCATGCGACCGGACACAAGCATGCGTGCGGACACAAGCATGTGTCCGGACACAAGCATGCGTCCGGACACAAGCATGCGACCGGACTCATGCATGAGTCCGGACACAAGCATGCGACCGGACACAAGCATGCGTCCGGACACAAGCATGCGTCCGGACACAAGCATGCGACCGGACCCAAGCATGCGGTCGGACCCAAGCATGCGTCCGGACACAAGCATGCGACCGGACACAAGCATGCGTCCGGACAGAAGCATGCGTCCGGACACAAGCATGCGTCTGGACACAAGCATGCGTCCGGACACAAGCATGCGTCCGGACACAAGCATGCGTCCGGACACAAGCATGCGTCCGGACACAAGCATGCGTCCGGACTCAAGCATGCGTCCGGACACGAGCATGCGTCCGGACACGAGCATGCGTCCGGACACAAGCATGCAACAGGACTCAAGCATGCGTCCGGACACAAGCATGCGTCCGGACACAAGCATGCGTTCGGACACAAGCATGCGTCCGGACACAAGCATGCGTCCGGACACAAGCATGCGTCCGGACACAAGCATGCGACCGGACTCAAGCATGCGTCGGGACACAAGCATGCGTCCGGACACAAGCATGCGACCGGACTCAAGCATGCGTCCGGACACAAGCATGCGTCCGGACACAAGCATGCGTCCGGACACAAGCATGCGACCGGACACAAGCATGCGTCCGGACACAAGCATGCGTCCGGACACAAGCATGCGACCGGACACAAGCATGCGACCGGACTCGAGCATGCGTCCTGACACAAGCATGCGTCCGGACACAAGCATGCGTCGGGACACAAGCATGCGACCGGACTCAAGCATGCGTCCGAACACAAGCATGCGTCCGGACACAAGCATGCATCCGGACACAAGCATGCGACAGGACACAAGCATGCGTCCGGACACAAGCATGCGTCCGGACCCAAGCATGCGTCCGGACACAAGCA